ACTGACTAGTAATAGCTGTATATAGGACTTCTGTCCCATTATCTTTATTTGCTTAGTTTCCTCTATATGGCTAGTCAACAAAGTGGGATCATCAATGCAGGATACGTCCCCTAATGAATAAAACTTAACAGTTAAAAAAACAGGTGAAAATAATTCTGGCTAATATATTTTTTATATTCAATTTATTGAATAAATTATGTAAACTTTCTTTTAAAATGTATAGCAAAAGGAAGGTTGATGATAATTTTCAAAAAAGGTTAATTAATCTGTAAGTCCTTGTAATTTCAACCAATTTTGAATTAAGTCCCTATAGTTTTTTTTTAATCAAGTACTTATATTTTTACTTGTTTTTAATGAGGTCCTTCAATTTATTTTTTTTATCAAGTCCTTATAATTTCACTAAATTTTTAATTAGGTCCATGTAGTTTTAATTTTTAGTTATGAATTAAATATAAACTTAATTAAATATATTAATATTGAAATATAAAATATTGATAATGAAATTAAATTAGCAATTATATAATAAAAATAAGTAATATAATTAATTAATTCAGGAAATTTTTTTACAACAATTAATATTTTCTTGCTGGCAAAAAATAAAATTATTATAATAATTCATGATTTTTAGAATATTATTTTTTTATAAACTAATATTAAATAATATATACTATTTTATGTTAATAGAATAGTATTATTACAATTTATAAAATAAAGAATAAAAAATTTAGGGATTTAAATAAAAATAAAGTAAGCTTATAATGACTTGATAAAAAGAAAAATAAATAAAGGACCTAATTAAAAACAGGTAAAAGTATAAGGATTTGATAAAAACAAAAAAAAACTATAGGGATCTAATTTAAAATTGGTTAAAACTATAAGGACTTACAGATTAATTATGCCTTTTAAAAAATTATAAAGTCTTAGTTTATCATACATTTATCTCGTTGATTATTTGATGTATTTATGTTTCAATTTAATTAGCGTAAGCTTCACTTCATGGGACTTCATTGTCTGAGTCAAAGTCTTGTCACGTATAAGAATGGAAAGCTATTCAATTAAAGTAAGCTTCAACTTACTTCCTATGACTTCATTGTTTAAGTTAAATTAAAGTCACAACATATAAGAATGGAAATTAAAACTTAATGGTGAATGATTTTTTTTTTTAAAAGTTGATTTTAGTTTGACGCGGTGCGAGTGCTAAAAGCCATGTCATTGAAGATAGAGAAGTTGAAAATTGCGCAAGAATTACATAAAAATTGTAGGAATTTGCCAAGAATTTTTATAAAGAATTTTTTTTACAACACAAAGTAAAAGATGGAAGTTAATTTATAATTTAAATATATTAAAATTAGTAAAAAAAATAATTTTGTCATATTTACGTACCATTTTTCCCCCGATCGAGACCGGCCACTTGCCCACCCTTACAACAACATAGGTCCTCCAATGCCTTTATCCCTTTTTCCTTAGGCAGAATTGTAATAAAATCCTAATAAAAAAGCTTAATTATTAAAAAAATCTGGATAACAATTTAACAGTTTATAACGACAAATATCAGAGTCAAAAATTATAACTTTTAACTTGTCATTGAGACTTTTTAATAGTTATATTGTTTTTTTTTTAAAACTTCATTGTAATTTTCCTTTCTCCTTGCCAAGCGGCGCAACATACACACACATTATATACTGGATTGATTAAACGTCAAAGATTTATTCAGATTTGATTGGTGACATTCTTTGACTCTGAATCCGCTTGGGAAGTGAATGGACTGAAACCAGGTTAACGGGTGGAATCATGCATGTAAATGTAAACTTCGACGGTAGACTTAGAAAATAATGGCTGGTCAAAAGAAGACTTAGAAACTAATGAACCTAGACAAGTCTATTTTAGAAAATGCTCGCGCGTAATTGGCGGGCTAATCGAAAAGAATAAGCGTCGATCACGAAAAGTAATGAATGATTTGCGATGTTACTTTGATAATATTAATTACTATAGGGAATGAAAAGATTTAAATGTGTCTATTTCCCACCGCTACGTATAGGGCGCATTCAAAATATGTTAGGCAAAAAGTATATCCTTCTCCTCCAATTTTATATAACATTCACTTTGGTTTCTTAATTTTATAAAATATTCTCTCAGTCTTCTAACCTTAATTATACCACATTATCTCATTAATTTTAAATGATGTTTTTTTGGGTCAATTATTAATATTTTTTAAAATTAAATTTTATTTGTTAGTATTTAAGCATATTTTATTAATATTTAAAATTTTAATATCATTATTTTTTTATTAGTGATATTAGGGTTAAAGACTTAAAGGGCTAAAAATCTATTTTCTAAAATTAATATTTTAAAATAAAACTTTGTATAAAATTAAAATACTAAAGATCCACGTTCATCTAAAAATCATATTATCGCTTTCTAAAGGATTGACAAAAGAATCCAATAAATCAGCATATTTCTTTTTGGTAAAATTATATATTTGGCTTTATCTTCTCAATTTACGTCATTACGTGTTCTGTTTGATTTAATTGGTAGGGAAAACCATATTGAAAGTTAGTATACTTTCTCTCAATTTTTAATTTAGTACTTATGTGTTTTTTTAATGAAATAATTTAATTTGATTTTTTTAGTAATATTAATTCTTCTAACTTTGTTCTATTAGTATTTTTAGTCTCTATGCAAAGGATAACAATGTTAATAGCAAAAAAAAAATTAAAAATTTAATTAAGAGAAAAAAATACATACGTATCAAATTAAAAATTGAAAAAAATATATAGGTTCCTCTAAAATGGTTTTCCCTAATTGATATATAACATTAGAAGTCCATTTAAAAATCCACCTGCTTTTCTTTCCTTATCGCCCCCCTATTTCTATAACAACATCCTTCTCCTCTTGCGTTTTGTGATTATCTGCGGATTCTGCTTCTCCTTCTCATTCTTCCTTCGCTCCCGCCCAAAGTTATTTTCCCCAAACTGCATCAACATAAATGAAGTTTGGGACTCCAAGCTCTGAACTCTTTTATCTTTTAGTATTTGGATGCTTTGCCTTGAACGCTTTCACAGACTATGGATCCATTAATGCTCAACTCATAGCAGAAGATGAAGGTTTCTTAATTAACCCCTGTCTGTAATTTCTTACTTCCAATGGTTGAGAACTGTAGTGATTTAGTTTTATTCATTTGTTCATTACTGCTTTAAGATAAATGACTTTTTTTTTGAAAAAAAAAACTGATTTTTGTTTCATGATTTATCTGGATTTTTACCTAGTGAATTTGGGTACCTTACCTATCTACAACGACTGTAAGTAATAAAAATTTGTTAGTTCTATTATTTGTCTATATTAACTTAGGTATGTGTGTGCTTGATTGAAATTTGGGGATTTGTGATCTGAAATGTGACTTTTATATGTCACAGTATTTTATCTCGCAATTATCTAAATGGTTCAATTCCGAAGAGCTTTGCCAGTCTCCCCCTTATTACATTGTAAGTGATCAAAAAGTTGTGAATATAGTTATTTTTATGCATACAAGTTTGAACTATTTGACCACATTAGAGTCTATTGCGGGCCTGAGAGCTTTCTAGGCTTAGCGCTAGGAGTTTGACTTTCCTTTCCTTCGCAGTAGAGTCTCTTTTCCCTATCTAATGCATTATTCGTTTTTTAAACTAATGCTTTAGACACCTTTCGGGTAACCCAATCAAGGGTTCAATTCCAGAAGAGATTGGTGAAATTACAACTTTGGAAGAGCTGTAAGTGCAATTCACACACAGTTTTTGAAATTTGTTGTATTGAGAAATGGTTATATATGGTTTTGCTGCTTTTTGTAGACATCTGAAAGATAATCTGTTAGAAGGCATTCTTCCTTCTAGTCTCGGAAAATTAAAGCTGTTACTTGTATTGTAAGAATATTACTTTATGTAGAAGTGATTTTCTTTAGCTTAGTTGCATTGTGACTACTACATGGTCTTGTTATGGATGAGTTTCATATTTCTTTTGAATGCGTTTTCTATCTGCATGCAGGCTTCTTTCTGGGAATAATTTGTCTGGGATAATACCAGAAAATTTTTGTAATCTGAAAGCATTGGAAATTATGTGAGTGGTATAATCTTTTTCAGTTTGATGTTGTGTGTGTTTTATACATCCGGAAAAGAGTTTGATGTTGTGTTAGTCTCTTTTAAATTCTAAAATTTTTCCTAGCATTTTTGTAGTTCATTAGATGGGAACAATATAAGAGGAAAATTACCCAATTTTATGGGGAATTGGACGCAGCTTCGAAAATTGTGAGTCTAATTTACTCTATTATGATGCTTTCGTTTTGAAGGATTTTTTTTTTTGGCCAATGCCTTTTGAAGAAGATACTGCTTCAATCGAATTTGATCAATAATTATTTATGAAAAATTCGCGTCATACTGTCAGATGAGAAAAAGCTAGTAAACGTGGTATATATAAAACTCACATAATTTATTTTTTCTAGTGTGATATTTAATTTCATGTGATTCTCTATCACAGAATAATACAATTTTTACCTATAGAAGCATTGAACTTGTTAAATGCTCAATAGTCCGTAGTGGGAGTGAAATAAACATATCTGAGTGGGAGCGATTAATGAAATGAAAATAAGATATAAAATTGAACTGGGGACTATGTTATATATATATATATATATATATAGATCAAGTTAGTAAACAAACTAATGAAATAATTTTAATTCTCACAATTCATTTAATCCCAACAAATAAAAGGGTTACATGGACAAATGCTTTTTGGAGTGTTTCCTTTTTATTTTCTAAATATTTTTCTGTGCAGGTATTTACAAGGAACGTCTTTAGAAGGCCCTATTCCTACAACTATATCTCAACTAAAAAATTTGACTTTGTTGTGAGTATTTATTCATTTGTAATGTTAATGGCTATGAAATTAATTTCAACAACAGAAGAACATTTTTCCTGCCATTAATTATGCCTTTTTATTTCTAATTCAGGATGATATCTGATTTGTATGGACCAGAGACCATGAGATTTCCTAATTTGGAGAATTTGACATCCTTGCAATTCCTGTAAGTTGAGAGTTTAACAATGAGGTGAAAATCTGTTTATAGCAAATGAGCTACTTTCAGTGAAGTTTATATTGTTTTTCATACTCTTGCTTTACTCTCAGGGTGTTGAGAAATTGCTCCATCCATGATTTCATTCCAAATTACATTGGTAAAATGGAAGCCTTATCTACTCTGTAAGTTGCTTCTTTATCATGTATTAACAATCCTGAATTCTCTAAAGAATATTTTCAATTTAAAAGCACCTGGGGAAGGTCAATCCCAAAAGATTAAGCTATTGGGTGGAAAAACTCTTCGTACTTATGATCATATACTTTTCTTGTGAGACTACTCCTCGATGTGAGATAGCAAGGCAGCCCTATTCAAGAGTTGACATTTTCAATAGCTCCACGTCATAACACTTCACCAGGACTCTTCTCGGTCAGAATTCTCCATGGATAGCATTTTTTTCCATAAATATGGCTTTCTCAATGAAAGCAATGCTACGAGCCTAACTACTTTGAATAGAAAATACAATTCCAAAAGACTAGCATGTTAGATTTTATAATATTGACAACTTAATTCCTAATTTAGAGATAATAGCTTACTCTAGTTACTTATATTGTTGACTACTAATACTCTTATTTTCTCTTTATCCTTCAATTATTTTTAAGAAGCAATACTTATGTCACGTGTATTAATTGTAGAGATTTGAGCTTCAACAAGTTGACCGGTAAAATCCCAAACAATATAAATGATTTGACCAACCTAACGTACATGTAAGGGAGCATTCTGCATAAGTATATAACTTAATTTCTTGGAACTTAATTGCTCTATTTTAATTGATCTTGTTAATCATGCATGCAGGTTTCTAACTGAAAATTGTCTGAGTGGAAAAATTCCTGAATGGATAGTGCAAAACAAATTTGATTATTTGTTAGTATAATGTTTTTTATTTTAATTTTCTTTCTTATTATTATTGTTCAATACGATTATTTAAAATTAATTACATTAAATCATAAAAAAAAATTTAACGTCACTTAAATCTGTCATCATTTGTGACTATAATCCATTTTGCATAATGTTCATTTTTTATTTAAAACTTGAAAATTTTATAATTAAAAAAATTAAGTTGTTGGAATTTAAAATTTTTGTCTGGACAATACACAACACTATTTTGATTAAAATTTCTTGATAATTCAAGACGTCCAAAAGTCCATTCAAGCATATTTTCTTAAATTCAAATACTTCTTTCCCTAGCCCCTTTTTATTGCTTTATCCATATAATCAACCAATCTAAACTTTAATACGAAAATTATAGAACAGGGGAAAAACTTACATGTGTAATTTCATACTACTTTTTCTTTCAGTGATCTATCTTACAACAATTTTTCCGAGACTTCAACACCTAATTGTCAGTACAATAATATGTAAGTTGCCCCCACAAAAAAGAAAACTATTTTTCTTTTTCTTAAAGGTATTATATGCAGCAACTATAAGCCATTTTTTTGGTTTACACAGAAACTTGGCTTCGAGCCTATCATCTTCAGCAAACACCACGTAAGATTATGCTCATGGCGGTCCTATTGCAATCATTCTACACCCATTTTATCCATTTCTTGTAACTTTTATTCATCTTGCAGAAGTACTTGCCTGAAAAGGGGCCTTCCTTGTGGAGGAAAACCCAAGTGTGAGTGTTTAAACTTTGTATATGAATGTTTTCTTGCATGTTTGAGACTTTCCCATGACATTATCATTTTTAATTGTATTTTATATTCAAAAATAAATAAATTAACCCTCTTAAAAAACCCATCACTGCCCTACATGATTTAATGAATTTGATAGTGATAGTAATTTGGGTTTTCCTATATATAGATGTGATTTTTGATGAGGCAGTCATAACATACATATGCAGATCATTCATTGTTCATAAATTGTGGAGGACCAGAAATTGAATATGACGGAAATAAATACGAAGCCGACACAAATCCTGGGAGTATCTCATACTTTTTTGCTAGTGATGATGAGAAATGGGCTTATAGCAGCACAGGAGTAGTATACTTCAGAAGATATGATAATTATTACATGGCAAAAAATAGATATTCTCTCAACATTACCGGTCCAGGATTCTACCAAACAGCTCGTTTATCCCCTTTGTCTCTTAAGTACTATGGCCTCTGTATGATTAATGGAAATTACAACGTCAAATTACACTTTGCTGAGATTATGCTCTCTCATGACCAAAATTTCAGCAGCCTAGGAAGCCGCATATTTGATGTTTCAATTCAAGTGAGTCTTATTTTGGTGAATCTAAATTTTTCTTTTCTAGTGACTAGAGAATTCAATGAAGAGCAAGAAAATAAGACTCTCTTTAGCCATGCATCCATGGAGTTGAAGAGAAATAAATATTGTGGGATTTGTCAACTATCAAGTCAGCTCACCACTATGTTTATCTATCTCTGCAATGGGTGGCTAGCTAAATGGGTAATTATAAAGACGAGACATGTTTATGGTGAGACTTCAATGTTAAGTGAATCTAGTTAATATCTCTATCTTTCACAAACTAACTCTTAAAGGATTAGTGCTATATAGAATGATTCAGTATGCTTTCAATTATTGTTGCTATGTACGTTAACAAAAGTTCACAAAGATTGAAACTTATGGATGTATATATTGACAGAGTAAGCAATATTTGAGTGATTTCAACATTATGAAGGAAGCTAATGGCGTAGGTAATGGCATAGTTAAGGAATTTAACATTGATGTCACTAATAACACCTTGGGGATTCATTTATATTATAGACAGAAAGGAACTAGCTCTGTTCCCGATTATGGTGCATTTGGACCTCTTATATCTGCTATTTCAGTCACCCCAAGTAAGTATCATCTCATATATTTATTGTTTCACTCTCCTTCTAGCTTAAGTTAAGTGATAATGATTTTGGCTTTGATATGAACCGTAAGTATTATTACTTTGTCATGTAGACTTCAAAATTCCTTCAGAAAGGCTTTCTACTGGAGCTATTGCTGGAATTGTGGTTGGATCATGTGTATTCCTCATTCTAATAGTATTCATCCTTCAAAAGATGGGTTTTCTAGGTGGCAAAGATTCAAAACACAAACGTAAGATGAAAATCCAACAAAATATAAAACTAGTACATCTATCGATACTTTGGTAAGATACAATTAAAAAAAACATGATTTTTATATGCATAAACGCTAACATACCAATCAAATCAAATGGATAAATAGTCATTTTTGCATATTTGTAATTATTTATTATTTCCTATGTATTTTCCTTTTATTTATATAACTTTTTTTTTTATGCAGAACTTTTGGATTTAAAAACAAGTTATTTCTCTTTAAAACAAATCAATGATGCAACTAATAACTTCGCCCCAGAAAATAAGATTGGCGAAGGAGGTTTTGGACCGGTGTACAAGGTGATTTTTAATGTATCATATTTATATTTAATCAAGATCAAATAGCATACCGAACAAACTTATAAAGAGATTAAATCTTTAGCATTTATTGATCTAAGAAAGATTATGAAAACTGAGACTAGATAATTGATTGAATTGCAGGGTATACTTTCAAATGGTATTGCAATAGCTGTGAAAAAGCTTTCCTCTAAATCAAAGCAAGGGAATCGTGAATTTGTTAATGAAATTGGAATGATATTTGCTTTGCAACACCCAAACCTTGTAAAGCTTTATGGATGTTGTGTTGAAGGAAACCAATTGTTGTTGATATATGAGTACATGGAGAACAATAGTCTTGCTAGTGCTCTTTTTGGTAAGAACTTGATTTTGTTTACAATTAAAAATTACCATATATGTAGTATTATAGGAAAAGGATAAAATTGATTGAGTGTAAACAAATAAAATTGTTTTGATATACATATTCTTATTGTGTGTGTTACAGTATTAAATTGCTGTGACAAAAAATGTAAAATCATGTTTATATTATTTGTCAGGAACTTTTACTTATATCTTTATTTTTTAAAAGACAAAATTTAGATGTTGTATTTTAGGCTTTTTTTTTTCGATTCAAATAAATTTACTCATTTAAAACAACTTCTACAAATATTTAATTAATTTTTATTGAATGACTTGATAGTAATATGTTATTGATTAAGATAATATTGATATTAATGTTAGGTGGCCAAGGACAAAAGATGCATTTGGACTGGCCCACAAGAATGAAGATATGCATAGGAATAGCAAGAGGATTAGCTTATCTTCATGAGGAATCAAGGTTGAAAATTGTGCACAGGGATATTAAGGCAACAAATGTCTTACTTGATAAAGATTTGAATGCCAAGATTTCAGATTTCGGATTAGCCAAACTTGATGAAGATGAGAATACTCATATAAGCACAAGAATAGCCGGAACAATGTCAGTACTCTACTACATATTTTCACTATATCAAATTTCAAATTTGGTATAACATTAATAGGTTTTTCCTTCTTATAACTTTTGTGCATTTTCCCTATTTTGTGACTTAACTACTAACATTACATGATCTCCCTTACTAGTGGTTATATGGCGCCTGAATATGCAATGCGAGGATACTTGACTGACAAAGCAGATGTTTATAGTTTCGGAGTTGTTATTTTAGAAATTGTCAGTGGAAAAGGCAACACAAGTTACATGCCAAAAGAAGAGTTTGTTTATCTTCTTGATTGGGTTAGTTGTGCTTATCAACATAGTGATGTTCACTGTTCTTCTTCATAAATGAATGGTTTGATTGAATTTATAATGATTCCATGGTTTCATGTAATCAAAGGCCTATGTTCTCCAAAAGCAAGGAAACCTTCTTGAACTAGTGGATTCAAATCTTGGTTCAAGCTATTCCTCACAAGAAGCCATGAAAATGCTGGAGTTGGCACTCATATGCACTAGCCCATCTCCAACTCTGAGGCCATCCATGTCCTCTGCTGTTAGCATGCTTGAAGGAAAGTTGCCAATCCAAGCCCTAACAATCAAACATCGAGAGAATGACCAGGATGTGAGATTCAAGGCCTTTGGAATACAATCATCTTAAGATAGCAATAGCCAAACCTTTAATTTTTCTACAAAATCACACCAAAGTATGGAACAAAAGGTTGAAGCAATGAATGGTCCATCATCACGTCATAGCCAAACACTAGCTTCTTCTTCATTCTCACATGAAATTGTGGAGCAAAGAGTTGAAGCAATGGATGGTCCATCAACTGACTCCTTTATTTCCCTTCCAAGTAAATATTTCTCTTCATGTAGCATGCTTCTTAAGGATTCCGACTAGGTTGGAAATCCGCATGAAACTACAATCTTTCATAAAGGAGCAGACATTATTTGAAGTAATTAGTGATAATCATGCACATGAAAATCAAAAAGTGTGAAGGAGAATTTGCATATGCTAATTGGCTCCTCTATTTTTATAGTCGAAATGTATTATACAACCTTATTTTATATATATACACACACACTGCTTTTATTGGATTTTCTCATGCGAAATGCCAATCAATTCATACTTGTTATGTTTTCTCATGATGGATAATAGGAGTATTCAAACCAAGTTGCCAGCTGTACGTTCCTGTATGAATGCTTACAGGACAAAATTACCTTTTAACCAATCCTGCAACCAATCAAGGTATAAGGATGTGTGTGCGTGTAAAGACAATATTGTCATCACCTCCCCACACCTTAGCATGTTTCTATTATTTTATTGAAGCTAGTTTATGTCACTACAAAAAATAAAAGCTGATTAGTGACAGAATTTGCAACGGAAAAAAATTCCGTCGCAAATTTGCAACGGAAACAAATTACGTCGCTAATTTTTTTGACTAATTAGCGACGGAATTTTTATTAGCGATGAAATTTCTGTCGATCACCAAATTCCGTCGCTAATCCGTCAGAAAATCCGTCAATAAATATTTAGTGACAGAATTAGCAACAGAATTTTTCTGTCGCTAATATTAGCGATGGAATTTTTCTGTCAGAATTTCCATCGCAATTCTGTCAGAAATTAGCGACGAAATTTGTTTCCGTCGCAAATTTTAAGAAAATAAATTACATAGAATATATATACAAGTAAGAGAATACTGTTTATCATAATCTATTTAAATCATTTAATTTTTTATATAGAATAATTTATTAGATTTTATTATAGTAGTTATTTTTTGAATAACAAGATTTTTTGACTAATTGTAAATGATTTTCTTCAAATATATAAAACACATGTACATAATATAATATAATGTAATATAATACATATATAATTAAATTGTATATCTTATCAATGTTAATTAAAAAAAATTAAAAAAAATATTTATAAAAAATTATTTATGATTTAAAATTCAAAATTAGTGTCGTTAGAAATTAAAATTATATTAAAAATATTTTTAAAAAATAAAAATTATAAAAAATAGTAAAAAAAATATTTAAAAATTATTTTTTATTAAAATAGTTATGATTAAAATTATCATATAGTATATTTTTAGTTTTTAATAATATATGTGTATATATAATTGTTTGTGTAAAATAATATTATATATATATTTAATTTTACATAATAAGTCAACAGGTTCATTGCAACTCAATTGGTAAAGTCGTACGTGCGCACAGAGGAGGTCCTAGGTTCAAGCCATGAAGAAGTCACTTTGAGGAGGGAATTATGTGGTGGCGACATGTGGCGCACACGTCGCAGGCAGAGGTGAGGTGGCAGGACACGTGGAGGTGGTTTCCGATGATGACATGACAATTGATAGAGGTGCCATGTGACATTTTATTTTATTTTTTAAAAAATAGGGTTAGCGACGGAATTTTTCCGTCGCAAAATTTCAGTTAAGAATTGCAACGGATTATCGACGGAAAATTTATGTCGGTAATTAGCCACGGAAATTAGCGACAAAGGAATTAGCGACGGAACAAATTCCGTTGCTAATTCCATTGCCAAAACATTTTCGTTGCTAATCCATCGTTAATTCTGTCACTAAATAAAAAATTCCGTCACTAAATTCCGTCGCTAAAAGCATGTTTTTTTGTGGTGTGTTTTGAAAATATTTATAGATTAAGATCTCTTTATTAGTTTAATATTTTGAGTACAAAGAATTAATATTAGACCAAAGTAAAATATGCTATTTTCTTGAAATAAATTAAACGTATATTTTAAAAATATGTTAAAAACCAAATATGCAAGAGATAAATAACAAATAATGTCCTCATAAACTATGATGATGTTTTTAAATATTCAAGTATTGAAATATCTGAAGAAATATGTAGGGGAAAAAAATAAAGAAACTTTGCATAAAACTCAATGAAATATTCAGAGAAAGTTGCAATTTGGATACTTGAAATGAACTATACACTTAATATAAGTCTCCATAAAATTGTTTATAAACAAAATTTAGGGCACATTTACGTGCACTACATAAAATATATAAAATAAGATGTATTATTTATGACTTGAGAGTATGATATGTAATTACAAAACAAACATTATATTTTATATTACCATATATTATTATATGGATTGGTAACGGATTAATATATTGATATTCATGATTAATAAGACTGAGGCTGGCCAATTCGGCTTGGACAAACTCAATAGTAGATATGGCCAACTTGATGCTCAACCAACCGAACAATATTGGACCAAGTTGGACCGTTTTTAATGGCCCTAGCACCAATGGGCCACAACTTGGGCATTTTACTTTTTTAAAACAGAAACAAACTTTTAAAGGCTTGTGTAAAATTACAACATATATTTAAAAACTTGGTGAAACATCCTCATTTCAAAAATATTTTTGAGAATTGTTGCAAAGGTTTTGACAAATTTTCACTAATAGATAGAGGTATCTTTCCAAATAAGTTATTGTTATTGACACGCAAGATCTTAATGTTAGACAAGAAACCCATTGATGAGGCAATTTTAGGTCGAATTGGATTAAAAAAAAAAAAGTGTTTGATATGCATACATAAACACTCTAATTGACTTTTCCCATTCATTTTATGGCATAATGATGAAGAAATAGATTCTCATTTAAATTTCACTTTTTACATGATGATAAAAAATTTTATATAAATAAACTAAAATTATAATATTGTGTCCTAAATGAGTTAATGCCGTGTCTCCATTTCATAAACTACCACCATTCTGGTTTATTTCCTTCCAGGTTTTCACACATCGCTATTGAATGGGACCAAGCAACAAACTTTGATGTGAGTGTTTTCTCCACCAACCAACAATTCTCCACATATGAATAAGTGGCTGGCCCAAAATAAAAAACGGGGGAAGCAAAACGAAAAACCTTGATGATTGCTTGAGTCAACCGTCAAAGTCTTCCTTTCCACTAACACTATCATAGGAAGGTCAACCTTCGATGTCCACAGCTCATCCTTGGGATATTTCCAATTTAAACTTTTTGACCCTTATGTTTTGGTTTCCACTTTCAGCTGAAATCCTTTTTAGTGAGCATAAAATTTGATTCATGCTGTAACGAGGTGCATAGATATCTTTCAGTCTCAATATTCTTTTTTATATATTACTATTATTTATAAGTCAGAAATTTTTTTAAGAAAATTATTTATAAATCACATGCATCACATCCCTATTTTATTGTCTGTTCGGAATGTCTCATAATCAGTTTTCAATCATAATTTATAAAATATAATATAAGTATGTAAAAGAGTTGTCTTGACTTACATAAAATGTACTTAGAAATAATTTTAAACGTGATTTCAAGTTGAAATCTTAATATCTTTATTGTGAAGAACTATACTTCAAGAGGAGTATAAATTGAAGCCCATACTTAATTGTAACCAAATTTAATCTGTGGGCCTCAACGATAATGCTTGCAAATGAGTTTTAAAAAAAAAGTGTTAAAATGACTTACCGAACAATATGATTAAATTTTTGAGTTGAATGTACAGATGTTTTCTTCATTTAATACTCGCGGTGGTCATGATTTGACTCAGTCAATGACACGTAAAGACAAAAGTCAACAAAGACCTGTAATCCTCGTTGTTTGAATTTTGATTATATTAGAATTATAGATAGATGAGTACTACGTACTAACTAATACGTAGATGTAGATAGATTTTTTTTTGGGGGGGGGGGCTCTGGGCAAGTTGAAGGTGATAAATAATTATATTTTGTGGACCCAAGCATTTAATAATACGAGAGGGACTATTCCCATCTGTACCATAAATTCATTTGATCACTCATCACTTCTCGGAATAAATCATTAAATCTCCTTCGCCTACTTGTGAGCAAGTCAGAGACACAAATCTGTTCATCTTCTTCGTCGCCTTGTCTCGCCGTTTACTGGGAAATTTTTCGCAGGAAAATCTTATTCGAGTCCTGGACTTCATTCCACGCTCAGAACAATCCTTGATCCAGTCAGCATACTTTTCATTATCTTTCTGTTTCATTATTCTCTCTCTTTCTTCTTCATCTTATCATTTAATTTCCCTTATCAGAATCTAACTGGCTATAGCTTTTCTCATTCTCTTCTTTCTCTTTTTATCAGAGTTCGCGGTGGAAGACCAGGCCCCACAAGAGAACCACCTCCTCAAAATTACTTCCCCGCCATGAGAGCTTTTCCGACAAAGCTTATGAACAGAGTGTCACATCCCAAATTTTAGGTCTAGAAGTACCATAATTAGTCTAAGATGGCCGGGCTACTAGATTTTTTTTTACAGAGATCCCAGAAATTCCCTAGAAGGACAATAGGATTCCCAAGGACTAAATCGTAAAGGGAAAGTTTTGTGGGACTGAAAAAAGAGGAAGATAGAGGCTTAGAAGAAGTCTCGAAACCCAAGAATGAGAAATAGAGATAAATGTAGGCCAAAAATTATGTTGGAGGCCTGAATGAAGTGAATTTTGAGGTTAAGCCAAACTAGAGGTAAAATTATAATTTTGTAAAGTTTTGGGCTGGTAAAGGCAAAACTTCAAAAATTTTTAGAAAAATAGGAATAAGGTTCAAAGGCCTGTATGAGGCTAAAAATGATGAAAATACCCTTAGAAGGAATTTGTGGAATTCCAAGGGTTTTGACTGATTT